TGGACAATAGTACGCAGGCACAGCACCAGCCCGATCGGCCCTCCACCAACACGTACATGTACCTCAGGACCCTAATCCTACTCCTACCTTACCTGTCGCAACCAGGGCTACATAATATGTACCCCTGGTCGCAGCAGAGCACACATGCACAATGCCACAATACCAAGATTGATGAGCTGATACATTGATAGACTGATAAGTTGATAGAATGATCGAGTGCCAGATAACGCACAACTTTGCGTGCTCATACTGCGAGAACCGCAATCGCGTCTGCCGGGTGGGCGACATGCTGTCGTAGTGCTTGCGATGCAGACGCGTCGAGCTACAAGAGATGGAGGTCGTGCGTCGTTACCAAGTACGCGATCGCGTCAAAGTGGAGGTGGTGACGGTAGCCCAAAACGCCCGACTCGGGACGTTGGCGCAGAGCCACTGGAGAAGCGCAAGCTTTTTTTGGGCTGCAGCTACACGAACGTCATGTCATCTGAACTCTAAGGGAAACGACGTCCGCACTGCTGCTTGCCAGCTGCGCATGCCGGGCCGTGAAGGTGGAGATACCGCCGTGCTCCAAGAGGTCCTGCACAGTGCAGAGTCGATCGGCGCGTAGTGCTATTAGTTTCAATCTCGAGAGGACCGGACTGTCATCGCTCTCAAATGCAAAAGGAAGCAAGTTGATGTGGCCACCGAGACAGGTCACGACGGCAAGGCGGTAAACAGAGCCAAACATGCTAGAAACATGCCGTCGAGATCGAAGAAGTGGCCGTTGTCGAAGTGCACGCCGTGACGTCGGCGTACTAGTACTCGCGTTGCAAATGACGGTGCTTGCAGGCGCAGTCGGTCCAGACCCGATATGCAGAGACCACCAGCGTTGGCTGCTAATCGAATGGCGCGCTTCACGCGGCAGCCGCCATCGTCGTGCGTCTCAGCAAACGGTTCAAAGGGCCATTATCCAAGCTGTGGCTATCAGGCTCTGGGGCGAGCTTCAGTAAGCTGGGTGCAAAGCTGGGTCGGCGGGTAGCTGGCGAAGAGGGATACTACAGTACGTTGCGAATACTTGGATAGATGGATGGATTGGTGGATACTGCATAAGATCTTCGAGCAACCTTATCTTGGCGAGCCGCGACACATGGCGCGCTACTTCCGCAACCGTGTATCCCGAACGGGCAAATCTTTGGCGATGCGCTTGCGACGTCGTTGCACCCGCGCAGCTTCGGCTGGCGTCAGATGAAACTCGGGTGCCGCTGCAAAGTGCGCGATCACGTCATCTCGGAGGTTGGCAGCAGCGATCTGGAGGGCCATGAGCCAATACGTTTGGTCGTGGCACGTGGTGCAGAGCCGCTGAAGAAGCACAAGTTGGTTCTGGATGACCCCTTCTCGGAATGCCTCTGCCACCATGCTCCCAGCGCTGTTTTCCAAGAGAAAAACCACGAGGTCGACGCTGCCGCTCGTGACGGCATGCCGGACATCGTCGGCCGTGAAGACGAAGATCACACTCCGGGCCAAAAACTCCTGTGCAATGCAGGCTCGGCCGGCGCGCAGGGCAATCGCTAGCAACGTCGACGGATATGGAATGACGTCGTGCTTCAAGGCTCGTCGAAGCAAGTCGACGTGGCCACCGAGACAGGCAGCGACGGCAAGGTGCCACAAGTGACCGACCACGCACAATTTGCGGTGGTCCAAGCTTATCGGACCGCGAATGCGGTCATACTCGTAGCACACGTCCCATGCATCGGCGTACGACCGCTGCAAATGCCGGTGCTGGCCAATGCAGCGCGTCCATTTTCCGAAAACAAGATGCCAGGAATCGACCGTGAAGAACATCATCTTCGTCGCCATGAGCTCGCGCAAGAGATCGACCCGGCCATACTCGAGCGCGTAGCTAAAGACGAGCGACGGGCACAGCTCATGGATGAAGCGCAAGCCGACGCGATCGAGCCACGGTGCCATGACTGCGTGTACAGGCCCGAGGTCGCCGTTCGCCGGGTTGTGGCCAAGGCGCGTGAGGACGCAGACGTCTAGGTTGACGCCCGCTTGGTAGGCAGTGATGAGCGACAGGAGCGGCGCGCTCGCGAGGACGTCGCGGTAGCCCATGTTCGTCGCGCGGCTGCAACCGATTTGAAATGACCACAAGTGGTAAAATGAGTATAAAACATGTTTGGAACATGTTTACATATATCTTGTTTCCTCGACGCCAGGGACCACTTTATATTGGACACTGTACGAAGGTTGTCTAGCTCGTGGTAGACACTAGGTCAATATTATAAATACGAGGGTACACTGTAGCTGTGTCCTCGCGTTCCGTCCGAGCAGAGATCACCCCGGCTCTGGGAACCCCAGCCCTAATCTGGCATTTCAAGCATGTCATACTCTGCAACGTGGTAGTTTGTTCTCCATCGTTCGATGTGGATGATATATCAATGACTAGGGTTATGCATAGCTTATATTTTTCGATTGATCATGCTAGCATGACAGTATTGTGTACACTGATGGTCATAGGCGTTCTCGCTCCCACGGTGCCGTCCAGGGTTACTACCGTCGACAGAGCTCCATGGCGCTGTATATATTGGACAAAAAACGTCCATTATAGTCGGCTGATCGGGATCGCGCGCTGAAAGCGGCGACTATCGCCATCGTCGTGCGTCGTCGCAAACTCGACGAACGGTCGCGTCACGAGCCGCCACGTCTTGATGTCCAACACGTACCAAAGCGACTTGTGGCGCCACGCGAGGAGCCCGGTCATGATGGCCGACGTCGTATCGAGAAAGTACTCGTTGCCGAATTTCCAGCGGTCCAGGCGAAGCATATAAATGCTATGCGCATTGAGCGCCGCCGACACGAGCTCGATCGGGGCCAGTTGTGGCCAGCGCCAGCGGTCCAGCGCAAAACAGCCAAGAATGCTGGCGGTTGAGAGCCCCATGAGGATGTAAACGCGATGTATGGACCCGATCGCCACGTTGGCACTGATGCAATCGACGCGATCGTCCATATTGATCGCGTTGCAGCGCCGCGCAACGTGAAACACGGGCGATACAGGCAAGAGAAACGTGGAGATGGCCCCGATCGTCAACGCGGCATTGGCACTTTTGAACGCATATGTGGACGTATACTGCAGCGTGAAGCAACTCAAAACGTCATTGAGTACATAGACGAGCCACGTGACCTCGGCTGCGGCCAGAACCGTCTTGTACCAAGGAAGTGGTGGTGAGATGGCGTAGGTCACCGCGCCGGCACCGCGTACAAGCGTGAGTGGCGCCGTGTTGAGCAGCACGAGAGCCGTGATGCTGCGCAATAGCAAGAGCGGGCGGCCAACCCAGACGAGGCCCACGAGCCGGTTGACGCACAAGAGGTTGAAGCCTTCCACCTGCCCGCGCGACACGACGAGCGTATGGCACGCGCCCAGACCAACCACACCAATGAGCACAAGGGTGACATACAGACAACCGAGCTGAAGTAGCCACGTAAACGTCCACGGTACGGCGATCGGGCTTGGCGGCATGGCCAAGAGCGGGCTCACCGAGGACAATAATGTCATCTCGCCGGCGTCGCCAAGAAAACGCACCACTTCGCGTCGACCCGTGGCCCATTCGTACAGAAAATGGTAGCCATAGAAGGACCACGCCATGTCGCTGCGCGGAAAGAGAGCCGTGGTAAAGAGAGAAAGATCGTGTGTCGCCGACGTCACAAACTGCACCGCGCTCACGTTGAGCGCTTGGACATCTGCAAACGCGGCGACAGCCGCCGCTGTTGCTTCGGTAAACACACCAGCCTGCGTCTGAGTTACGTAGGTCCAAAAGGCAACGTGGTCGGCGGCGCAACTCGGTGACGCGAGCGTGTCGAGCGCGCAAATGCGGTTGAAATTCACAGTGTGGGCGTAAATTGCGTGCATACCGAGGATCGAAGTGACGACGTGGCGTGCGGTTGGGTACAAGAGCTCCAACTGCAAGCTATGGCACAGCTTGTCGGCGCCAAACCCCCCGTACAGGCCGCCGTACGACGGGTACGGCGCGACGTCGTTGCCACAAAAAATGTTGCCGCACGTGACATGGGCGGTTCCATTTGCCAGCAGCGCGGGGGGTATCTGCTGGAGGACGTCCCGCACTCGCAACTCTGAGAACGCCGCAGCATCGACATGCAGAACGTGGGCCAGCGCGGTGGCAGCCCGCTTGACAAAGAATGTAGCCGATGCCGGGCACGGTATCACAAACATATCGATGCTGTTGAAGGGCCCGACGGCCGACGCAACGAGCTGCAACCCCAACGAGAGAGGACTCGGCAACGTCCGATTCTCCGTCAGCACAGACATACTCGACCAGTTGGCAAAAGCAAATTGGGGACTCGACCGGAGCAAACTACAGCCGCCAATGGTTGTGGTATTCGTCGCACCGATGGCCCAGAGATCACTTGCGAATGACCAGTACATGCGAAACGACGTCTCTTGATCGCGGTGCGTCGTCGGAGCAATGTGCCCGAGCGGCAGCGCGTACGTCATACCCAAAGCATTTGTGATGGTAAACCCGTCGCTCCACC